CTTTGGGTTCAATTGCTTATTATTAAAACATGGGTAGGGAATTCTAATTTCCCTGAAAGGAATTTTCCTTTCTAAGGCACTGATAACTCAAAGAATTCATTTGCAGGAGACCCAGAGAAGGTACTGAGTAGCAAAACTTAAGAGGGCGGTGTTGTAGGGTGGCTGGCTTGAGTGAAACATTGTCAAGTTGCATAAGGGCAGGTGTGATCTGCTCATCTCAGTAACATTGAGAAATAGGTTATTAGTATGCCCACAATGGGGAGGGGCTCAGTATACACACAGTGGGGCTGGCAGAAGAGGTATGTGGGAAGATGAAGAAAATTGGGAAGAGGATTGAGATTAGGATATTGAATTTGAATTTAAAATCAAAACATGGGGACATTGGCAGAATGCTGTTGCCTTCATTTTCCTTTGGCTCCTAAGTTTTATTACTAAGAGCCAAGAGAAAAACCATTGCTCAGGATCTTCATAAAATCCTCACAGTGCATTTTTCCCACTACTTGAAATCCAAGTAACTACAAATGTGAAGTATATGTTTTTCTTATTGTTTATTCTGCTCCCTTGTGTTCACATCTGGGTCCCTAATTTCTCATCTTTTATTCTGTACCATTATTTTTTCTTCTCAGTTGAAGGGCACACAGCAGACCCTACCCGTATCTTGGAAATTGTTCTCAACTTATTTTTGTATCACTCATAGAAAGTGAAGATCACATTCACCTTTTACCTTTGCTAGGCCCTTGGGTCTGTTTAAGTATATGTGGTATTATAGCTGCCAAATGACAATTATGCATCCTGAGAACTCATAAATTCCTGACCTCAGGTGGAAAAGCACTGTCATTTCTTTGAATGCCGAGTACAACTTCAGGAATATCCGCATTCAAGTCCCATACATTTCTCCATCTTCCATTCTTACTATATTCTCCTGGCCTTCTGCCCCAAATATCCATACAACATAGGAGGTCCAAAGAAGTGAATTAATTTTCTTTTCTGAGGACCATCCAGGCTTTTGCTATGACCCTTTCCAGTGCTTTGTGACCTTGCTTTGTGATCATCTTACTTCTAAGAGTTCTCCAGACATTATAAATTAAAGAACGCAAATTGGAAATCGACATTCAAGCCCATCAGTTTCTGTTCCATTATTATTAGCTTCCATAGTAAATTTTTTTTTGGGAAAAGATAAGAGTTTAAAAAAATCCCAGCTCACACCATTACTATGGCAACCCAATTTAACTCTTCTAAAAGGAACTTATGGGTACACAGGGACTTACTTAAACAGTAGCCAACAGGAAACTTCATGGACAGTAGGGCTAGGAAAAGTTTTACTAATGGCTATGATTCCTCACAGGGTAGTTCCCTCAAGGCACACTAACAAGGATCAAATGCTCGTATGGAAACTTACTTTGAGTTTTGCAATGTGAATTATATGAAATCCAAAGAGTCTATTTCCTTTAAAAAATTATTAAGGTTTCCAATGTACCCTTTCCCCCTACCATTCAACCTAGACAACCCAGATCAGATTTTGTGACATAAAATAAATGTCTCGGGAGCAAGCTGCAAACTAATATGAGAAATAGAATAGATCTTCCAAATATGCCTGGCAGGGTTTTCACAGGCTAACCACTGCTTTTTAGTGTACCTGCTTTGCCTCCACATTTCTTTGGATTAAAAACATTCCTTTTATTAAGTCTGACAAGATAGTAACAAGCCAGAAAGTTCATTCTCAGCAGATAGCAGATGATTTCCAAATGAGACATGGACAGGTTTTTATGATTATAGATTTCAGAGATCCTGGTCTCTCGAAAGTGCACGCAGGGATTGGTAGATATATAAAAAGACAGAAATAATGGAAGAAAGATATATAAATTGGATTTTTAATAAGAACAAATGATAAAAGCCATTGACATCTCCCCTACTATCCCAGCACTCTGCTTTTTGTCAGCTTTTTAAATATTTGTAAGAAATGGTTAGCAAAGAGGCTGAGAGGTAACTAGGATAGCTGGGTGGCTGGAAATGAATGTCTCCTTCAGTATTTTTTATCCTTCAGAAATGTCTGTCAGAAATGCTATTTCCATAGAAGCACTTACACAGTGTAGAGGAAGGGAGTGGGGACTTTTATTACTTTTTAAGGCTTCTGACAGTTTTCAGCCCACCAACAAGGCTTAACTTTGCATTTTGAATAATGCGGAGATTTTCATGAGTTCAAATAGGAATCAAAATAATAAATGGTACTTTGTCTGCCAAAGTACTGTGACAGTACATTATATTTGCAGTTACCTTTCAGAATAAGCTTTCCAGATGTATACTCAGCCAAATTGAAAAGCTACCAGTATTGTTTTCTCATGCTGTGTGTAAATTTCGCGAAAAAGTTCAGCGGACACATCTTTCTAACTGTGGGTTTGGTTAATGTCATATTCAAAGGGCAGTGCATTATTGCACCTAAAAGCTAAGCATTGGCACAAACTGTCCTGGTCTATGAGATCATTGCAATTGGCTGTAGACATTACGTTTTTGTTCACATCTGTCTTCTGAAGACCCAGAGACAATTTAATTACCTCTGCACTTTTGATTCTTGCTTCTTTCAATAAAAATGTAAAATTGCCCTCCATTGAGAATTATCCCACTAAAAGGCTTGTGATTACTTTTCATCAGCATCTCTCTTCCATCAGGTTATCAAGTTAAGCTGGGCATATTTACTTTGTTTTGAGTACCCAAGGCTCTGTTTGACTCTAAGTATTATTAGAATTGATGTCAATACAGCTACTATATCTAGATATCTCTCAGTAGCATAATGTATGGCACTAATAACAAACACTAAAATTACACCATTAATAGAATAAGCTGCAAGCAGCCGCTTCATTCCTAGTTTGATAGGCATTAAAATAGCTGATTCAGAGACTTCTGTAGAGAGCCTTAACTTAATTAAAGGTATTAAAGTCCATGGGAATACAAAATCTTTGAGTTCAGTACAATCTATAAAAACTGCTCTAAAAGAAGATAAAAAATATTTGCCTGTTTTAGATGAATCTCTCATTCTGCATATCATTTTATGTTTCTTGGCGTTACTTCACATCCAAAGTCTCCCAAAAGATGAGAGGAAGAGTGGGAGAATAAAGTTGGAGTGTTCAATGTATATGTGAAAATGGAACCAGGTAACTTGATGGAATTGGTGGGGTTAGGTCAAGTCAGGGAGAATGATGGAGGGGTGATTTTGATCAAGATGCATTGTAGTTGTAAAATGACATGTTGAATTAAAACCTCTTTTTACACTTGCTTAAAGATAATTTTTTTAAAATCATAAGAAAAAAACTAAGCTTATTTATTTTAGTAGATATAAGGAGACTACAAGTACTCTGGTTCTTTTTCCACAATAAACTGACTGAATATTGGCATTTTTTGATGCCAATTCACAGAAGAGAATATCAGATTTTTTCCCCTTACAGGGGTTGTGTGTGTGTGGGGGGGGGTAAGAGATAACTACTGAGAAATATGGGGTTCAGATAAGCTATCAATGCATAAATTTCTTAAAATCCTCATTTAGTCCCAATTTCCACTAAGTTCTCTAAAGTTGAGTTCTTGGTAAATTCACTCATATTCAACCAGTTGCTTCTGGCTATGCATCTATCTTGGCTGTTGAAGCATGCTGCTGACATCCTATACACTAACTTTGTCAGATCATGGAACTCATTAGGGAACTTGTGGAAATATCATTTTAGAAGTTAACTTCAAAGTGCACTGTGTTGGCATTACAACTGTACTTTGTTTTTCTTGAGTGCTAGTCCTGGGGCTTGAACGCAGGGCCTGGGTGCTGTCCTTGAGCTTTATTGCTCAAGGTTAGAGCTCTATCACTTGAACCACAGTACCACACCTAGATTATTATTATTATTAATGGTGGTTAATTGGAGATAAGAGTCTCCTGGACTTTCTTGCCTGGGCTAGCTTCATGCCATGATCCTCAGATCTCAGTCTCTTTCAGGCATGAGCCACTGGTGTCCTGCCTACAATTGTACTTTTGAAATGTTAAAAACTCTGGTTCAAGTATTATTAAGAAAACATAGCGTTTTATGTTTTATGCTTGCATGTTTTAATTGCCAGATACATTATATTTCAAGTCTGTTATTTCTTAAATTTGGACAAGTAAATTGAGGCAAAATTTCATTGTTAACTGGATTCCACTTCCTCCATCATACTATGTCTGTTTCATGGGGAACATTCATCAGATCTTTTTGTAATCATGTTCTAAAAGGAAGTTAAAATGACTAGGTATATCATCTCATTTATGTCAAAGGGTCCAGTTTGGACAATTCAAGCAACAATTTACATGATAAAACCAAATCTCCAAAACTTTTTTGGACAGGTATGTTTTATCTAACTGTAGGAGAATAGTTCAAAAATCTGTAGGAGAATAATGTGAAAGTGTCTATACATTAGGCAAATGTTTAACAAAAGTCCTTAATTGAATTATGTGGTTAAATCTTTATCATATTCTTTAGGTTATAATATGTATTTCATTTTTGGGTTATTAAAATATGGCTTATCTCCTAGACATTGCACAATTCATTTTAATATATCTTGTGTTTTTGCTTTTCATCTTGAAAATCATATTTTTTAAAACTTTTTTCTAGCTTTTTATGTAGCTTTCATGTAGGTCTTGCTATATATAATACATTGTATTGCTGTTATTGCTATTAGATGGACTTCAAAACTCTGCAACTGGATAAGCTGCTTAGGCCTCTGCTGAAGAGTTACCGAAGCATGACATGACAGCAATCCTCAGGCTTGCAAGTCTGTGATGCTCCCGTACAACTCAGGACAGGAGTATCAGTATTTAGTGTGTCCTTACTTTTGTGCAATCTAATTTGTCAGTGACTGATTGCAATGTTACTGTGCTGGGATCAATCATTTCAGATTCGAAACAGGAAAGATTTCACAGCTCTGTAATGATTAGCTTTGGGAGCAGCAGGTCAGACAAACGAACCTTCAAATTGCTGAACAATACTTACAGGTATCTTCTTCTTCCATGGAAATACTGATCACATAACAGGCAAACACAAACCCAACCAACTGCAAGAAAAAATACATGCAGTAAGAATAAATGCCATGGTTCAAGTGGAAAAGCACCATCCTAACAAGTGTGAAGCCCAGAGTTCAAACCCCAGTAATGCCTGCCCCGCTCTCCTCCCCCCCTGCAAAGGATCCATAATCCAATCCAATCATGTCCTTGCCCTTCTGAGACAGTGCAAGGTAGTAGCAGCTACAGGCCCGGGGTTACCTGCTGTGGTTGAAATCATGCTCTCCCAAAAAACAAAAAACAAAACAAAACAGAAAAGCAAGAATATATGCCAAACATTCATAAATATGTAATCCAATAGATATATAGGAAGAATATGTATTAGTAATATGTAAGTTTATATCTTAAAATAATATCTATGATTATTAAAGAGCCCTTTCCTTTCTATGTCACTTGACAAGATGTGAAATATTCTAGATAGTTCCTTTAGACGTTAGTATTAATAAATCAGCCCAGATAAGTCAACACATTTTTTAGGTTTTGACTATTTACAGAACAATTTGTACTACATGCATCATTACCACAACTATTTTAATGTTTACTAGCTACAAAAAAATAGAAATGCATTACTTAGAAATTAAATAGTGATTATCTACTGAATTATTGAAAATGCTCTGAAAGTAAAAATTCTTTTTACTACTCAATTGGTATGTTAATTACATCATATGAAAATGCATTGATTTTGTGATCATTAGTCATTGGTGAAGGGAAGGAGAGAGACAATTTATATTTTGGATCCAAACAGTTAAAAAAATAAATGCAAACACAGGGTACAGACAAAGCTTTTCATATTATACTGAGGTGGTGATTTCTATTCCACAGAGTCAAGCATGTTATAATTCCTGGAGGACCAAATTGGCAATGAATCTAGTCTACTCTAAAATTGTTTTTGATAGATATTAGAAATAGCCACCTGGATAGCTATTGTGGTCTGTCTTCATAGCCTTATCTCATTTTTAAAATCTGTTCCCCCCCATCCTCAATATAAATTAATGTTGTAAAGAAAACTTCTCTTTTTTCTTTATTACTATTATTATTATTTTTAAGAATTTGTACAATCTTTTTCAATTCATATCAGCTTATGAGTACAGTGCATCTTAAAAAAAATTGGTCCTGGGACTTGAACTCTGGGCCTGGGTGCTGTCCCGAAGCTTTTGTGCTCAAAGATAGTGCTCTACCATTTGAGTCACAGGCTCCACTTCTGGCTTTTTTTTTTTTTTTGGTAGTTTAGTGGAGAGAACAGTCTCACAGGCTTTCCTCCCAGGGATGGCTTCGACCTGTGAGCTTCCCATTTCAGCTTTCTGAGTAGTTAGGATTACAGGCATGAGCCACTAGTGTGTGACTCTTTTTGTAATTTTTTCCCTTTTCTTTTGAAAATCATTATCTTTAAGTAGTTGTACAAAGCTGTTGCTCTTTAACAAAGCGGTTCATGTGAACAGTGCATCTTGATCAACGTCACCACTCTCATTGTTCTCACCCATCTCTCCTAATGCCATCCATCCCCTCAAGTTGCCTGGTTTTATTTTCACATATGTACATCAAAGATTATGATTGTTTTTGCCCACCCTTTCTCTCTCTCTCCACCCCCCCCTACTTCACTTATCACCCCCACCCCAACTTCTGAAACAACACATATTGCAGCTTCCTGTTATTCACTCTGTTAAACTGTAAGTTAGTTGTTCATAACTCCCATACTTCTTCCCAGGGTATGCCAGGACTCATGAGCTATAAATAGTCCAGTGTCAAAGAACAGTTCCCAATACAGAGAACAACATATTCGGGGGTTCCAATGGCACATATGGATTATGATCTGAGATTCGAATCCTTACCAAAAGTATATGAAAGACCATGAGGCTCTTAGAGGCTGAGAGATTAGGAAGTGAGGTCATACGGATTGACAGAGGGAGCTAGCTGTGTGCTGAACAGCCCTTCTATCTGTTGGATACCTCCCTTCATCTCAATCCAAGTGAGGTGCTGCTTCAAAGAAGAACTTGTGGAGGAACTTGATGTTATACTTTGGGGGGGAAATGGGGACTTGGCATCATCTTGGAAGAGTCACACTGCAAGGGGCTGTGGCTAGTGGACTCTTGGCTGAGAGTTTGAAGAGGCAGGGCCAAGTGGGCATAGCAGCTCAGGGATGCACATGAGGGCTCTCAGTAGTCTCTCAACTGAGTTCCCTGTGGTGCTCTGAATTTGGACTCCATCTTAGAGGACTTCCCACCAGATATAGAACCTCAGAAGAAGGATGTTGGTACTTTAGGTACAAAAAGTGAGTGGAACAAAAGATGTTAAATGACAAGTCAGGGGACTGAAAATTGAGAGAAATAGATGAGACTCCTTTATGTGGCAAAAAGTGGGAGGGGGGTTATAAAGAACTCATAAAATCACACCTATGAGGATATCAGCCTGTGGGAAGAGTCATACCCAGAGAGTACGCCCTCCCTGATGATCGATCAACCCAGTCCTCTTAAGCCTTCTTCCACTCATTTCTTATCTGATGATTCTTCCTTTTACTTCATCTTAGGAGAAAGTAGCTCTGTTCCCTCTTTCTTATTGAAGTTCTGCATCTTGAAATCAGGCTCAGCTGAGGAGCAGTTTTTAATGGGTTAGAGTTTACATTGACCAGGATGGGGCAATTTATTATCTATGAGGGGCCAAATGAGAAACAAATTCAGCCTGAAATATGATCCAAAAGCAGAGATAGAACAAAGTCATAGAGTGTGCCCAAAGGGACAGTGGGAGAAGGCATAAAATTGCCTTCAGATTGATTTCTACCAAACCTGGCCCACTAAACTGGCTGCAGACAGAAGAAATGCCTTCAGATCCCACGACCATAACTTTTTGAACAGTTTCCTCCCAATCTTTCAAATAGTTGCCATATATCAGACACTATTATGATCCATATATCAGACACTATTATGATCCATAAGCTTAATTGTTAAATACATAAAGTTGGGTCATTTAAATATACTACAATGTATTTAAGAAATAGCCTATTTTTATTTTTTATTTTTTTTATTGTGAAAATACTGTACAGAGGGGTTACATTTATATGGGCAAGATAATGAGTACATTTCTTATCAAGCATTGTAGCCTGCTCCTTTGTTTCTCCTTCCCTTCCCATCCTCCCCCTGCCCCCCCAATTCTTCCCGCTCTCCCCTCTTCCCCCCCCC